TATATATATATATATATATATATATATATATATATATATATATATATATATATATATATATATTTACTTTTAGTTGTTAATTCCTTTACACTAATTAATTAATTAATTAATTTATATTTATTTATTTATTTATTTATTTATTTATTTATTTATTTATTTGTTTATTTATTTATTTATTTATTTATTTATTTGTTTATTTATTTGTTTATGTTTAGGGGTGGGAGCTGCTGCAGCGTTGTCTTTCTCACTTGTATGGGTTGCTCGGTGCAGCAGCAAGAAGCAGCAGCCCGCTAGGTCTCCGCTTAGTTTTGTCTCAGCTGCTGCTGCAGCTGAGTAGTTTGTCTCCTGCTAGCCAGCAGCAGCAGCAGCAGCAGCAGCAGCAGCAGCTGCAGCAGCTGCAGCAGCAGCAGCAGCAGCAGCAGGATCCCTTTTCTCCTGCTGAGCTGCTGGCTGCTGTTGGGTTAGGGCCCCCGTGCTGCAGTAAGGAGACAGATAAAGAAGAGGAGACAGAGAAAGAAGAAGAAACAAATAAAGAAAAATATATAAAAGAAAAAGAAAAAGAAATAGAGAAAAAGGAGACAGATAAAGAAAAAGAAACAGAAATAAAACAAACAGATAGAGGGGAGGAGACAGAAAGAAAGGAGACAGATAAAGAAAAAGAAAAAGAAAAAGAAAAAGAAGTAGAGAGAAAGGAGACAGATAAAGAAGAGACAGAGAGAAAGGAGACAGATGCTGCTGTTTTTCCTTTAGGGTTTGATTTATTATATATAAACACAAACATAGGGTTTATAAATAAAAATAAAAATAAAAATAAAAACAAAGACAAAGACAAAGACAAAAAAGAAAAAAATAATTTATCTTTTCTTCCTCTTTGTTTGTCTTATGGATACGGCAGCAACATCTCTCTCTTCTCCCCGCAGCAGCTCTGCTGCTTCTTGCTGCTGCTGCTGCAGCTGCAGGGCCCCCACGTGCTGCAGCAGAATGCTGTTAACTTTGTTCGCTTCGTTGCGGGCCCTGCTGCTGCTGCTGCTGCTGCTGCTGCTGCTGCGAGGAGGGATCAGCAGCAGCAACAGCAGCAGCAGCAGCAGCAACAGCAGCAGCAGCAGCAGCAGCAGCAGCAGCAAGCGTCAAGGGATGGTCTTTTCACTTTTTCCAAGCCTATGAAGGAGGAACAAACAACAGCAGCAGCAGCAGCAGCAACAGCAGCAGCAGCAACAGCAGCAGCAGCAGCAGCAACAGCAGCAGGATCTCCTCTTTTATCTGTGCGGCAGCTATCTCTTGCTTGTTTTATTCGTCTTTTGTCTTTGTCTCCTTTTGTCTCCTCTATAAGCCTAGAAGCAGAAATCAAAGAAATGGAGAAATCCTTTCTGCTGCTGCTGCTGCACTGCAACGCCAGCAGCAAAACCAACAGCAGCAGCAGCAGCAGCAGCAGCAGCAGCAGCAGCAGCAGCAGCAGCAGCAAGCAACAGAAATCTCTCACCTCCTGGATTAAACAATTGTGGAGATCAGAAGAAGAAACAAAGTTCGTAGAACCCAACGGAAGACCCGCCAGGCATGCAAACCCTAAACCCTAAACCCTAAACCCTAAACCCTTAACGCTAAACCCTAAAGGGAAACCCTAAACCCTAAAGCTAAACCCTAAACCCTAGTCCTTAAAAAAGCAGATTTAAACCTGATGACTAAACAAGGGGGAGAGTGAATCTGTTGAAATTCAGCTTTTAGGGTTTAGGGTTTAGGGTTTAGGGTTTAGGGTTTGTGTTTTTTTCAGGGGTTTCTTTACTTGTTTATGCCGAAGCAAAGTTGTTACTGCTGATGAGCTGCTGCACTGTCAGCTGTTTGCTGCTCTTGCTGCTTGGGTGCAGCGTGTATATACACCCCATATCTCTCGTGCTGCGTGAGCCGGCTCTCTAGGGTTTAGGGTTTAGGGTCTAGGGTTTAGGGTTTAGGGTTTAGGGTTTAGGGTTTAGGGTTTGCATGCCTTTAGGGTTTAAATCGACCGAGTTAGTTATGTAGGGCTCAAATGCAGCCTTGAGGCTCGACGATTCACCGCATTAGGGTTTAGGGTTTAGGGTTTAGGGCTTAGGGTTTAGGGTTTAGGGTTTAGGGTTTAACTGCGCAGGAAGTGTAGAGTTCGTGAGGAGGCGTTTTTTCGTTTGATGCATTTCGGGTTCCTAGACAGAGGCAAAGAGCAGCAGCAGCAGCAACAGCAGCAGCAGCAGCAGCAGCACAAGGATCAAGAGCACCAGCAGCAACGGCAGCAGCAACAGCAGCAGCAGCTCGAGGAGCAGCAGCAGCAGCAGCAAGGGTGGAGTCTCCCGAATGCTTTTACACGTTCAATTGGGGTGTATTGTCTGCGGCTGCTGCAGCAGGTGCAGCTGCTGCAGCAGCAGCAGCAGCAGCAGCAGCAGCAGCAGCAGGCGGGTATCGTTTCAGCAGCAGATTCTTACCGCAGCATTTCCGGCTCTCCAACAAGCATCAGCAGCAGCAGCAGCAGCAGCAGCAGCAGCAGCAGCAGCAAGAGCAGCAGCAACCTGAGGCTGGGGAGACGTTCGTTTGTTGCTGCAGCAGAACTAGAACAGCAGCAAACTGATGCTGCTGCTGCTGAGGCCCTTCGTCTCCTTTATCTTCTCTCTCCTTCTGACCCCCTCCTTGAAGAACAAACCAAAACCCTAATCAAAAGGGTACACACAAACCCTAAACCCTAAACCCTAAACCCTAAACCCTAAACCCTACAACAAACCAAAACCCTAATCAAAAGGGTAACCACAAACCCTAAACCCNACCCTAAACCCTACAACAAACCAAAACCCTAATCAAAAGGGTAACCACAAACCCTAAACCCTAAACCCTAAACCCTACAACAAACCAAAGCCCTAATCAAAAGGGTAAATGCAAACCCTAAACCCTAAACCCTAAACCCTACAACAAACCAAAACCCTAATTAAAAGGGTAAACGCAAACCCTAAACCCTAAACCCTACAACAAACCAAAACCGTAATCAAACGGGTAACCACAAACCCTAAACCCTAAACCCTAATCAGAAGGGTAAGCACAAACCCTAAACCCTAAACCATAAACCCTAATCAAAAGGGTAACCACAAACCCTAAACCCTAAATACCGAGCCAAAACCCTAATCAAACCACAACCCCTAAACCCTAAACCCTTAACAACAAACAACAGCTGTCATAATAAGTGTAGCAGCAAACCCTAAACCCTAAACCCTAAACCCTAAACCACGGCTTTCAAAGCAGGGCCCGTAGCAGGTGCAGAGCAAATCAAGACGACTACTGTAATCCAAGATATTAGGGTTTAGGGTTTAGGGTTTAGGGTTTAGGGTTTGGGTTTTGCAGCTTGCGGCGAGAGCTTCAGTTGAAGGCCGCTCGCTGCCTATGTTTTATTGGGGTTTGCTGCTGTGGATGGGTCAAGCTGCTGCTGCTGCTGCCGCTGCTGCTGATGGTGCTGCTGCTGCTGCTGCTGCTGCTGCTGCTGGGGGGAGTTCTGTGTCTCTGCCGGATGGCTTCCTCGAGGGTTTGCTGCTGCCTGGAGACGGACCAGCAGCAGCAGCAGCAGCAACAGCAGCAGCAGCAGCAGCAGCAGCAGCACGAAACCCCATCGGCAGCGTTTTTGCTGCTACTGCTCTCATCAACTCTAGACACTTCATTCAACCCCAAATCCTCTTTCGGTAAACCCTAAACCCTAAACCCTAAACCCTAAACCCTAGGTTATCCCAAGGTTCCTCTGTAACTGTCCAAAGGGTTTTTAGTTTCTAGGGTTTAGGGTTTAGGGTTTAGGGTTTAGGGTTTGAGGTGTATGTACACCTCAGCTTCTTTCCTTCTATTTTTATATCGGCGGCATTCCACCCTCGTTCTGTTGGCCCTCTCTTGCGTTTCCTTATCCCCTCAATTGTAAACCCTAAACCCTAAACCCTAAACCCTAAACCCTAAACATTACAGCTCAAACCCTAAACCCTAACCCCTACACACTCCTAAACCCTAAACCCTAAACCCTCGCTTGAAATTTTGAATTTTTTTCGGATCTACTTAGTGTTGATGGTGTTTGCTCCCCACTCTAGGGTTTAGGGTTTAGGGTTTAGGGTTTAGGGTTTAGGGTTTGTGGCTGCAGGTTGCTGGTGGTTCTTTATATGAAGTGTTTAACTCTATGCTGGATTTGCCTCTAACTGCAGCTTTTATAGAACGATGGGGCCCCCAGGGGCCCCCCGATTCATGCTGCTGTTTGCTGCTGCAAGCAGCAGCAAAATATCTCCTCAGGAGACAAACAGGTAAACCCTAAACCCTAAACCCTAAACCCTAAACCCTAACTTTGCAAACAACATATAACAGGGTGCAACCGGACAGGCCCATACCGGCTGATCCTCCTGCTGCTGCAGCTGCTGCTGCTACAGCTGCTGCTGCTGCTACAGCTACAGTTGCTGCTGCTGCTGCTGCTGCTGCTGCTGCTGCTGCTGCTGCAGGCAGTACGCCGGTTATGTGGGAGGGGAGAACGGAGGAGGAGCTGCAGCGTCTGCTGCGCCTTTGCGAGTGAAACCCTAAACCCTAAACCCTAAACCCTAAACCCTAAATCTGACGAACCTTAAACCCTAACTGAACTCGGACGGCCGAAGGAGACGCTGCAGCTCTCTCTGTTCCCCTTCTCCGTGAAATACTCCGCTTAGGGTTTAGGGTTTAGGGTTTAGGGTTTGCGTGTGTTGCAGGGGTTTGACAGCAAGCCCTAGGGTTTCNAGGGTTTAGGGTTTAGGGTTTAGGGTTTGCGTGTGTTGCAGGGGTTTGACAGCAAGCCCTAGGGTTTCAGCTGTATGTACAGTTGTTCCTGGGTGCCTCGATGCTCTCATCCGCGAGGCGCTTGAGTCTCCCAATCCGCGGCTTAGAAGTAAACCCTAAACCCTAAACCCTAAACCCTAAACCCTTTGCTGCAGTTAGCAGCTGAGATCCAGCCTTTACCAGCTCGATAAACCCTAAACCCTAAACCCTAAACCCTAAGAAAGAACCCTGAGGCTGGGTAGATTCAAGGGTTTGACTGGGCTGAAGGTGCTTGTTGTGTGAGTCAATTAGGGTTTAGGGTTTAGGGTTTAGGGTTTACGTGTTGCAGGTGAGCTGTTTAGTTGTTTTGTGTTTCGTTTCTCTTTGCTTTTTCCTTTGGGGTTTTTCGTCGACGAATTCATCAAAAAAGCGGTTAACACCATCAGCCTCCTTCTCCGCCAGTCTCCAGAGCTTCTAGTAGGGTTTAGGGTTTAGGGTTTAGGGTTTAGGGTTTGGGGTTTAGGGTTTAGGGTTTAGGGTTTAGAGGTAGTTGTGAGAGGGCTCGCGCGCAGCCTCTAGAGCTGTAGATGACGTCAATTAAACCCTCTCTCAGGGTTTAGGGTTTAGGGTTTAGGGTTTAGGGTTTAGGGTTTAGGGTTTAGGGTTTGGTGTGTTGCAGCTCCACCATCAGCAGCAAATCCTCAGGGCTATATGTGCTCACTGGAGGCCCCAGGGGGCCCCCCTTGCTGAGACCCTCTGTTGGGGTGTGGGGGCCCTCCTAAACCCTAGACTGATGCAGCAGCAGCAGCAGCAAAACCCTTTCATCTCTCCGTCCAAGGTAACCCTAAACCCTAAACCCTAAACCCTAAACCCTAATAAACCCTTACGTCTGGGGATTTAAATTATATAATACCCCCAGCAACAGCCCTTCTCCTCCCCTTCTCCAGTTTCTCCTTTATCTCCTAGGGTTTAGTGTTTAGGGTTTAGGGTTTAGGGTTTGCTGCAGGTTGTATCGGATTATTTCACTGCTTTAGAATACGTTGCCTATCTACCACTGGGTACTGGGGGGCCCCCAGGGGGGCCCCCCATATTGTTTGAGGTACCCTGGGGGCCCCCCGATATAGTAAGAACAGCAGAGGGGTTTATACAGCCAGGGGGTGTTTCTTTTGCTGCTGCAGCAGCTGCTGCTGCAGATGCTGCAGCAGATGCAGCAGATGTAGAGGGAAGAGGAGGTGCAGCAGCAACAGCAGCAGCAGCAGCAGCAGCAGCAGCGGCAGCAGCAAAAGCAGGGGGCCCCCTGCAGCAGAATACTGGGGGATCGAGGCCTCTTCAGGGCCCCCGGCGGTCCTCTCGAGCATACGAGGGAGAACTTTCAGGTAAAAGGGTTTAGGGTTTAGGGTTTAGGGTTTAGGATCTAGGGTTTAGGGTTTAGGGTTTAGGGTTTACGATATCTAGGGTTTAGGGTTTAGGCGCAATGTGTCTGTCTTAGATAATTCCTCGCTAGAAGGGACATCCGCTGGAGGCGCTGCAGCAGCAACAGCAGCAGCAGCAGCAGCAGCAGCAGCAGCGCCAACTGCTGCTGCTGCTGCTGTTGACGGCGGGGTTTCTGGCTGCCCCTCCCCCTCGTTGATATGCATTGCAGTTGCTGCAATGACACAGCTGGGTGCGACCGCGTAAACCCTAAACCCTAAACCCTAAACCCTAAACCCTAGAAACCGTGAAATATCTTGGGCTCATGCTGACACCTTCTCAGGTTATGGTTTGGAGGCGAAGGAAGATACAAGGGTTTAGGGTTTAGGGTTTAGGGTTTAGGGTTTAGGGTTTGTGTGCGGTGTCTGATCAGCGCTTCACTTCCCTCCTCTGCGTCCCCGAACGGTTTTGTGTCTGCGCTCCGTGAGTTTTAGGGTTTAGGGTTTAGGGTTTAGGGTTTGGGGTTTAGGGTTTAGATGGGTAAAAAGTAAGGTTTAATAGTTTCTGTTTGTGCATATTGGGGTGTATATACAGCTCATATCTGGGGTGTATGCGCAGCTTTGTTGGGGTGTATACGCAGCTCAAAGCTGGAGTGTATGGGCAGCTCTGGCGTCCCCTTTTGTCTCGCATTTATTTCTCTTTGGGACTTTTATCTGATCTCCCCCTCACCCAAAAAACCCTCAGCATGGGGGCGAACCAACCCCCCCCCATTACTCCTTTGTACGGCTTCCTCCCGCTATTCTGCTTCTGTTGTTGCAGCTGTTTCTCTGTCTCTGTCTGTCTCTGTGTTTCTCTCTCTCCCTGTATATATATATATATATATATATATATATATATATATATATATATATATATATATATATATATNCTCTCTCTCTCTCTCTCTATATATATATATATATATATATATATATATATATATATATATATATATATATGTATATATATTTTTATATATATGTATCTCCCCCTCTCTGTAGGGTTGAAAGGAGCTGTTGTTGTTTTTGTTGTTGTTCTGTCTGCTCATCTGTCTGCCACTGTCTTTGTTCATTGGCTCTGTCTCCCCCCGCTGCTGCTGCTGCTTGTGCTGCTGCTGCTGCTGCTGCTGCTGCTGCTGCTGTTCAGGGTGTGGAGTCTGCTGCAGCAGAGCGAAGAGGCATTCTTTCCGCCTTTGTTATCTCAGCAGCAGCAACTGAAGCCCCAAGAAGGTAACACGAGCTTTACTTATTTATTATTATTATTATAATTATATATTATTTTTCTTTTTGTTTATATTTTCTTCAGCTAATAGAAATAACATTATATAATAAATATAGTGTTTCGGGGTGTAGTCAACTATCTCTTGCATGCACTGATAAAACCCCAAGAGTGCCAGCAACGCCTCCAGCAGCAGCAGCAGCAGCAGCAGCAACAGCAGCAGCAGCAGCAACGACAGCAGCAACAGCAGCAGCAGCAGCATGAAGAGTTGTTTCTCTGTTTGACTTGTGTCTGCAGAATCTTCTCTTGCTGAGACAGCCGCAGCACAGACCGGCGTTTCTTCAGCAGCAGCAGCAGCAACAGCAGCAGCAGCAGCAGCAGCAACAACAGCAGCAGGAGGGGGTGTAGTTGCTATGGGTATTCTAGAGAGGCTCAGGAGGTCGCAGCTACACTCCGAGGCCGCACAGAAACAAAACCAAAACCCTAACTAACCCTCTTTATTACTGGCGACGTTTCTTGTTTTCTTTGTATTCTCTCGTGCATTCAGCTCACAATAGAAACCACTATCACCCTAATAGCTGCAACAGATGCAGCTGCTGCTGCAGCTGCTGCTGCTGCTGCAGCAGCAACCGCCGCTCTACGATACGATATATATGGAGGCGCCAGAAATTTGCACCGAAACAATGCCCCTCTCGCTAAAACCTAAGCCCCAAGAATTCTATATATATATATATATATATATATATATATATATATATATATATATATATATATATATATATGTGTGTGTTAATGTATTGCCTGTTTTCAATACCCCATCGGGTATGAACAGCGGTGGAGGCCTAAGGGCTTTCTCTCGCAGCATTTTTCGAGGCCTGCGGTGTATGCTGTTTCAAAGAATTACATCAGCCGCTTCCTACGCTCTTCTTCTGCTTGCTACGCAAGGTCAGGGGGGTGGTGTGCGGGGGTTGTGTATGCATGCATGCTCAAAATCGAGCTGTGCCTGGGTGTATAGAATATACTTTAAATAAGCCTTTGCTTACAAGTTTCTCGGAGCGTCAAGGAAGTCAGAGAAAAGGAGCTTCGTCCTGCAGATGCACGCCTAGAGAGAGCAGTGGTCGTTGCAGGGCTGAAACAGAACCAACAAATAGAGAGAAACTGGCAGTAGTAGTACTCCTGCGAGTCTGTAGTATTTTTATATTCGATTTTAAAATGATAAAAGTTCCCCATAGAGGAAATAAGCTGAGGTTTCATACCCCCGGGCGGTGGCTATCCGACCAGCGGCTCCACGGTGTACAGACACCTCAGATGCCGGCAGTGGAAACCTGCGCGATCTTGCATGTTCCCATGAACGAATTCTTTTGAAAAAAAAACACAAAAACAATTTCATTGTCTATAATTCAATGCTCTAAATATTTTGCAAAAAGAAGCAAAAAAAATTTTCGTGTTTCGGCCGCTCATCGGCCGACCGCCTGAGGCGTCAATTCAATATCTGCGGAGAAGGCCTCGTGAGAGCGATTCTATTAATTTCGTGTATCTTATTGTTTTTATTTCAACATTTCGCAGTTTTTTAATCAACAGAATCCCGCTCTGAGGGCTTCAAATGGGTGTTTTCCCCTCAACTGCATCCACTCGCCATGTGAAAAAAACACCGACGCACGCCAAGGGAAGACCTCCCAGACGATGTTTACACAGCCCCACCACGTAGACGAAAGCCACGTATGCATCTTAAAGCTCAACTTGAAGGAACTCCAGGGGCTTCAGCGTGGCCCCACCCCCCCGTTCCCCTGCGCCGCCCAGACGAAAGCCGACTCCGACGGTGGTAGTGCAGCTGGGCGACCTACGTAGAAAGAAGGAAAGACAAGAAGGAATATCTGCTGAGAGACTCAAATTATTGCTCTATACGCCCTGGTGTTGGAGGGTTTAGGTCTCCCAGCGCATCGTATTGCGGTTCGTGCCGCGGTCTGTGTTGGTTAAACTTTGTTGCAACTCGGAGGAGGAGTTCAGTGTGTGTGGCCCTTTGTATCTTCTCCGCATGCATGCGTCATGACGAGTCCTTACATAGTATCTCGCCCAGTATATGGGGGCCCCCCCTCTCAGGGGCCCTCTGTACCCTTTGGCTCTATGGGGCCCCTCTCCAGCAGCCAGAGGCCCTACACAGCATTCCCTTCGTACGGCCCCTCATCTATGCCTGGGTTAGTTCCTGTGTCTGTATCTGATGAAGATACATATGATGATATGCCTAATTTTCGTGGTTCTCCTGGTGTAATAATATTATGTTTATATATATTATTGGTGAGTTCTTTGTTTGCTAGTATAGGCCGTACAGATTTTAATTTTGTATTATATTTATTAGGATATCATATATGGTGTATAGAAGGAGATATGAAGACAACAGCAGGACTAAGAAAACTAGTAAGAGGAGCGAGACAGTTTGCTGTATTACTTTCTATTGCAACTCTCGTTGATATAACCTGGAGTTTCATCGCTTACTCTACCTGGGCTTGTGACAAGCCTGAGCCCCAGCTCTGTTTCTCTGAGCCCCAAGATATGCAGGTACGCTGGGCCTATGGGGCACACAGCCTCGCCCTCACTCTTTCTCTCATCAACCTAGTCCTCAAGGTAAGCCCAGGGGTTATCGAGGGTTTAGGGTTTACGGTTTAGGGTTTAGGGTTTACGGGGAGGAGGGTTTGGCGGGGGGGGAAGGGGGGGAAACGGTACAGCAATGCAGAAACAATATACATCAAAATTAGGGTTTAGGGTTTAGGGTTTAGGGTTTGACGGTGCGATGCAGGTCCTCGTCATTTTCTTGACTTTCTCCTGGGTGCAGCAGCAGCGTGAGTTCAAACCCTAAACCCTAAACCCTAGACCCTAAACCCTTCTCTGGTGCTTCTTTCCCTTCTTCTTTGCGCTAGGGTTTTCATTAAATTAGGGTTTAGGGTTTAGGGTTTAGGGTTTGTTATATATTTTTTTCTGGTGTATGTACTGCAGGAAAGCTGCTGGGCTTAGCGTGTAGCCGCGGGACTGCGATGTCTCCGCCTCAGCCAGCGCCTGTGACGATCTGCGACTAAACCCTAAACCCTAAACCCTAAACCCTAGTTTTCAAGGTTTAGGGTTTAGGGTTTGCGTTAGTAGCAGCAGAACGTTTCAGGTCGCGCTCTCGCCTGCTGGCTGGGGCCCCCTAAACCCTCCTCTCCCCCCCCCCC